AATATTTTTCAGTTAAATGTAGTGAAGTTCAAGTATGAAGTAGCAGGAAAAATGAAAATACTCATGTTTACATGAGATACCTCAAAATTACACTTAACTACAGTACTTGAGTAAATGTACTGAGTTTCTGTCCACCTCTGCAAATTCAAATAAAAATATTTTCCTCCTTAAAAACATTGAACCCAACAGAAAGACAGCAATATTCTAGACCCAGTGACACAAGTGGGGTCTTTTCAAAGTGGAAAAGAAAGCTACTACTATCATACTTTACTTCTGGAAAATCATGTCTCTGTACATCACATATCACACTCTTATTTTGTAACACCAACATAAACTGGCTGATCCACAACACTGAAGGTGCGCACAGTGATGAAGAGCTGCTGAAATGTTAATGAGCATAAAGCTGCCTGCCAGACCAACAGCCGACTACAGCTCAGGCCCTCCATCACTCAGTCATTAAAGATGGATGGATTCTTTTCACCAAGGTGTCAGCTGTATCTCTATCTCGTGGCATTGTGTTTCTGTTCTGTCTCAGGGCACAGGCATAATGCGACAACACACCTTGACCTGTGCTTAGTTTTTAACCTTAAAGCAGCATTAACTCACTTCTCCCTTTAATTTTAAACCATTAAGAGAAGTGAGGATCTAAACAAATTCAAGTAGCAAACCCTCATCCTCTCCCTCCTGCACTGTCTGTGAAACTAGGCAGTGATGCACCGAAATGAAAATTCTGGGCCGAAACTGAAACCGAAAATTTAGGATGCACTTGGCCGAAAACCGAAACGAAACCGAAAATGGCTTCTTTTAAAAACTTCAAATTTTTAAAACACGCTTACTCTAGTATTTGAATTTGATGAATCTGAAACGAAAAACTAAAATCTAAAATATTTTTAACAATAAACAATACCAAGTTTTATGTAACATTCAATAAAGTTTTAAGTAACGCTCAAACATTTTTAATTGCTGTGCAAAACAATGCAAAACGGTGCAAAAACGCGGCTCAATATGTTGTATGAGCCTACAAAATCCAATGTCCTCCATGACAGAAAACGGCTGGTCGTCTAAGGCAATGAATTCCATTACTTTCTCAGTAATGCCACATGCTTTGGGACTATCATCTGCAAATTAGTCTTTTCAAAGACCGAGGGTATTTGTGATGTAGTTGGGGCACTTTTAACCAATGTTGTTTTACGGTACTCCTCATATTCAATTGGCTGTCATTTTTTCAGGTGGTGTATCAAACCTGTTGTCGAAAAGTTCTTTGGCACCGTACCTCCTCTTGATATTTTCGCAGAACAAATGTTGCATATTGCAACTTTGGTGTCCTTACCTGAAACTTCAAAATGCTTCCATACCACTGACATGCTTTGTCGTTGATGGGGAGACGCGTGATATAACAGCTCCAGCGTGAGTGAAACCTAACCTGTGCTGCGCGAGGATGGGCAGGGCGGGGCATTTTCGGCATGCCTTTTCGGCGTGTTTTTTTATTCCGGCCCGAAATAAAAATGGCCTTTTCGGCCAAAAAATTTTCAGTGATTGAAAGTTCGGTGCACCCCTAAAACTAGGCCATATGTGGCCACGACAGCCAGAGACAGTTGTGGCAGTCAGGTAGTGCAGCAGTAATGACCGTGTCCAGAACTAAATTATACGGAAAATAGAGCCTGTGGTTTTCAGTGGTATTACAGTGACACAATGTCAAATAAGGAGGTTTACATTTTAGCGATATGCATACGTATGTCTGACATTGTAGCAGATGCATCTGCAGTAATACAAATTACACAGAGGAATGTTTTGCCAGTAATAATGATAGAGTACTAATGTTCAGGCCGCTATCACATCGTGTTCAGTGTTACAAACTTGACATACATAACATTATATGGTAGCTGTGAGTCATATGTCAAACAAGACTAACTTCATGTTACACTTTGATAGCTGAACAAACTCCCACTTTTCTAGTTGTCTCAATGGCATAAATTTTTCATAAACTTTTCACTAAAATGCTACATGGACTGCAGTGTTATGTCCAACATAAACTGGACCAAAACCAAGCTAAAATTAGCAAAATTAATTCATTTGCTAATCCTGGAATGCACACTGAATAGAGGGTGGGTATGTCTGACAATTCTTCTAACATTTAGCTTCTTCACACAATTATTTAAGGATGACAGGATAAGGCCAAGCATGTTACATACAAGGAATTTGTTTTTGGTACAGAACTGAGGCAGCCATCTGTGGCACCAATTCACACCGAAGGTTCTAACCATCAGGGGCAACTTGGGGTTTCAGTGTCTTGCCCAAGGAAATGTCACCATATGGACTACAGGCACCATGATTCAAACCTCCAACCCTCTGGTTGGGAAACGACCGCTCTACCCACTGAACCACAGTGAGAGAACACAAATGATGTGAAGAAACTGGTCTCTGTGATTTGTTGAGAAAACTCCTCCTCTTAAGGGGAGCTTTCCACAGTTAGCAAGTGACAATCGTAAACAACAGCAAGCAATGAAGATCTGATTAGGTTTTTTTTTTCTCAACATTATTATTTCAGAGAAGACCAAAATGCTGCCACTACTAAGATTACTGAGAACATAGATGAAAACAACACTGGTAATGCCGAAGTAGTTACAACAGCAAAAATTAGCAACAGCACCACAGCAGAGCCGGTCACTGCAAGAGAGAGCAGCAGCATCTCCTCTGGAACTAGTGGGCTCAGAGAAGCCAATGATGAGGAGCACCTTCAGGTCCTCAGATGTAAACGACGAAGGCATCTTGTCATGCTGAGTTAGCTACATGCTAATAATTCTGTTTGGTTCTGGTTCATGAATGAGGATGTGGATCATAATCAGGATCACATGTACGTCATTAGTACAAAACTGAATAAAGCTCAAACAACAATTTTAGAAAACAAAACTAGACAGATTTTAATTATACTTTCATTTTCTGTATGGCAGTATGCATTATTTACATGCAAATTATATTCTAAACATTTGCACACATATCCCAGGTAGCACCCCCTACTGAAAAAACATTGTCGTACACATGACAGCTATGCATTCTGCTCCATCACTGGTGCTTCTGATACGAGTACTATTCTATTAACAGTGACATTTTCCCAAACATACAACATGTAACCCTCCCTGTGTAGCTCTGATTAAGATCATTCTTCTTAGTAAACAACGGTACCACAAAACCTGCCAGCTCTAAATCTTTCAACAAGTTCACTATCAAATTACATTAAAACTAAGACCTAAGGCCTCTGATTTTGTTATGTCAGGTGGTTTCAAAACTGTAGACAGAGAACAAGTGAAATTGTTTCTGTTGTTGTTGTTAATTAATCCATGACGAAGGACCCAACTGCCACTAAAGTGATTCTGTGTGTATCCCACTCAAATGAACTAGAAATCATAGAGCTAGAAACTAGAAAACCTCATAGAGAAGAGAAACTGAGTAATTGTAGGTTTTTATGATACTGCTATTTCTGTGAGACATCGGAGTATTAGTCATACAATAGAACTGCATATTCTACCTGTACAAGTGACTGTGGACTTTGCACAGTACACCCAGCAGTGGATATGAAAACAGCCATAGCGCTCTTATTAAGTCATAGACACAGGACAGATATGGCTGAAGTAAACAAGATAAAATGTCAGGATAAATTGTTAATATATCTAGTGTTCTCACACTGTCCATCACAGTCCAGATGAGGGAGTACCTAGTTCCTAAAAATCTTGACACACTATAAAAGGTTTGCTCCTTGCAACCATGTTCTAACACCAGAAGTGTGGAATTTTCAAAGCATTTGCTGTGCTTAGAGCGCTAAACAACAAAACAGCCCAAAGAAAAAGTACCAACAAAAAAACAGCCCAAACTCAAACTGAAACTTCATACTTTATGGCTCCATAATAGAAACCCTCTATGTCCCGTAGTCAAAAGGTAAGGTCCATGTGTGATTAGGGAATGTCTAACCAATAGGCAAGTCTTTGAGAATAACCTCATGCCAAGCTCCATTCTAATCCAGTCCTTTTCCACCTGAAAATCTGGTGTTGGCTTGCTTAATTTACCAGCAAAGGTGCTTAAAGGTTTAAACAAAGCTTTAGACATTTCTGAGTCTTTAAGAGCCACTGCTCATTTAATCAAACAGATGATCCACCAAGACAGCATTTGTTTCCAGTAACATGTTATCTAAATGTGGTTCAGTGCCACCCACAAAGGTGTATTGTGGTGGCTGTGGGAATAATAGGCCATACTGCTCCAACTTTTATGAAGAACTTTAAAGTGTACTGGATGTATGCCCAGATTAAACAACAGGTACAACATTTGTGCGTGAAACTGCTTAAGATAAGGAACCCAGGGTCAGTGTTAGGGCTACCCTCTAATAGTCGAACAATCAAGGGGGGGATACCCACTTGACACTGTACGATACATGGATGTACATTAAGGTCGGATCTATTTGGCAAATTGCAGAACAAGGAGAAAAGGACAACAAAATCCACTAGGACAAGCCACATAAAGGTGAGATTTGTCTACTTTTACAAGAGATAAGACTGTAACGTGATGTGGCTGGCTTTGCCTAGGTTAATGTTGTTTACCCATCTCTGTTAAAGAGCAATGCACAGCTGTTTACTGACTGTTTCTGTGACCTACATCCATCCGAATAGGACTAAGATGCTAACAAAAATGTGTGGGGAAAACATTTCAGTGAGGAATTATAAACAAGAGCATCATTTCAACAGAAATACAAGTGTGCTGCCTGTCTCGTTATTACAACAAATCCATATGGCAGCCCAACATTATATATCGTCAATTTAAAAAGGTCACAGTTAAACCTCACATCATATGCAGCTTCTTGTACTTTTAAATGCTCAGAAATATGTCCCCGTCACACTTTTGCATTTAAATACTAATGTGTGGTGAAAACTGTATGTGTATAAAAGAAGGAATAGTGGAATAGTTGCACTGAAGAGCCGACAGACTGTGTTTCTGATGGCTCCATATCCTACCAGACACTGTCCACTGAAGACAATTCTGCTACTTTTGTCTTCTTCCTAAAGAAGGCGGCCAAACAGGCACTTGGATGAGCTCACATATAATTAACTAAGTTCACTAGCTAAACATTTTGATAACCAATACAGCCTTGTGATAGTAAAACTAGACTTACAGTGACTTCTTTCAAGAGCTCGAATTTGGAGATTTAAAAACTGCCATTTCTTCTTTGGCGTTAAGGCCACGCAAAACAGGAAATGTTACATGCTACGTAATTACATGCTAGGTAAATATATTATAGCCTATTTTTGTAGTCAACAACAAAAATTTTAATTTCTCGAATTTCCGATATCTTCCGCTGATGCTATGATATTAGTTCCTCCCACTAATCTTAGCTTTAGGTCAGCGAGAACCAAGTCTAACATTTGAAATAATAATTGTGGTGTGAGATGAACAACATTGCCGAAATAGTCCTGGGATTTCAATGTTTCATATACAATATTAAAAGAAGTCGAAACAACGTAAACATGTCTCCTATGTGTAAGAATACACTTATTTCTAGTTTTTCGATGCAGTTTGGTGCGATGTTGTCTCCGTAAAAAGGTGTTTCAACACCGATAACGTTAGATGAAATGCCTCGAAATAATGCCTGAATCGGCGTCATAACCCACCACAGTTAAATGTAAGACTTTAAATGCGTCTACTTGTATTGTTGTCAGCTGTAGCCTGATTCCGTGCACCGTTAGCTGCAAACACGGTTCACATCCAAACAATTGTTATTGTGAGCGAGGCGTCTCCATACCTGACTGGCTTTGTGGAACTGTTTCTTCAGCCCAGCCACAGACATCTTCGACAAACGTGTGAAGCTTCACCTTTGGAGAAAATGTTCTGTATAAACACCAAACAACCCCGGGAATATTTACGTTAAAGAAAGAGCCAGCGGAGTCCACACAGCGCACTCATCAGTCACTACCGTTCAAGATTGCAGCAAGATGCAAGCCGAGTCAAGCTCGACACTACCGGAAGTAGATTTATTGTCCTAACATTAAAAGTATCACACTCCAACACCAAGGGACACTTTTTATTTCCTAAATTGTATTGTTTCTCATATTGTACACTAAAGCAAAAAACATAAACAGTCGTAGTTAGGCAGAAAATTTAAACCTACTTTTACAACTGAACGTTTCTCTGTATTTGTAATAGGTAGTTTTACTTTGGGGAATCATGATTGCTCACAGTAGGCCACTAATGTAGCCAAATATAAGGAGGTAGAAGGCTGAACACAGGGTAAGATGAGGGAATTTCAAACATTTTCTGTTTACAGAAAAGCTGCTAGGTGCTTGGATATGAATGTATGTACAGCATGATCATGCATAAACAAACCTGAGCACTCAAGGAGTAGGCTAATAAGAGCATCAGATGATTTTCTTTTGTCAGTGACATAATCTCTGTCTGGTGGGGGGTTCTAGCCAATCCCAGCTGACACTGGGCAAGAAGCAGGGTCCCCCCTGAACAAGTCGCCAGTCTATCACAGGGCTGACACATAGACAAACAACCACATACACTCACACTCACTCTATGGGCAATTTAGACTCACCAGTCAATCTAAGCTGCATGTCTTTAGACTGTGGGAGGAAGCTGGAGTGGCCGGAGAGAACCCACACCGGCACAGGGAGAACACTTAAATTCCACAAAGAAAGGCCCCGAACCCAGAACTTTCTTCCTGTGACGTGACAGTACTAACCACTGGGCTGCTGACCTTTTGACCACATTACCTCAAAATTTTATGTTATGGAGAAGTCAACAAGTCAAACAGGTAAAATTGACCTTTAAAAATGGTGGGTGGTAAAAAGGACAGGGCACTTGAGTATTTGGTGGCCACAGGTGGAGCTACATTTTAGCCTTACATCTTACCTCAAGGTACATCATCCCCCATTGTCCCCTACAAACATATCCAAATAGGAGTGTTAAATATCTTCTCAACTCTCCCCAGTACAATTTTTAACTGTATCAAGTAGATTTATATTTCTAGGCAATTTGTGACACTGGGCAGTTACGTTTTTATTTTGAAAGTACCGACCGGAGATGTGTTTTACGTGCCTTGTTCGGTTTGTGGAGAGCAGGCGGAGGAGGAAAGGGTTTCCTGAATCGCAGAGATGTCGCCACTTCTCGCAGCCCATTGGCTGACAGATGCTGTGCGGAGGAAACCGCGGTGAGAAAAATGGCTAAAACAAGAAACACGATTCAGCAACCTCTGACCCCAATAGAAAAAAAAATCGTTATTTAGACTAGTTCTTCAGTGAAATAGAACACACTCTTTGTCAATGAAACTTTTAAACTGAAAAAGGTTTTGATTTTTTTAACTGACGGTGAAACTGGTTATTTAAACTGTAGGCTACTTGTAGGCCTATTTGTCCTCTATAACTAGAAGTTAGTAGGCTATAATGTAGTGTGAGATTTGAATTCAAACTGTCCAGCATACATATTTTAATATTAGATTATTTAGATGCATGTCTTCTTTTATTAGATCTTTTTGTAATCTGATTCTCAAAGTCTGAGCTGATCACACATTTTGTATAACATATTAGAATTTCTGTTGTTACATGAGTAGAACTTTTTTCAACACTGCCTTGCCATATAAACTCAGTCTACCTGTTATGCTGTGGTGGTTGTACTGGGCCCACCCTATTCTACCTCCTAGTCACCTCACTAGGTTATCATGACTGACTCCTTTAACATGGTTACAATAATAATCAGAATGTACCTGGTTTTGGCACAAAACTACTTGATTGGGTTATAAAACATCACTAGGTGTTACTCGTTATATATCTGCTAAAGGTTATTTAATTATAACGCGTGCATATATGCACCTTCTGGCCTACTGGTAGTTGCATGTTAGGCTTTCTGAAACATCGTTATGGACATAATAATAACTGATAACTCCCATTTAACTGGGTGATAACATTTGAACTTGCTGATTGCTCACTCTCTTTACATGAGTAACATGTGTAAATATGTGGCTGAAAAGTTCATAAAAAAGAAGTTAAAATACAACACAGAATAGCAGAGAGGATTCATGACCACAGCCAGTGCTTCTGAATAGTTTAGTCTATGGAACACATGATAACACATAACTAGGGATGGGACTCGTTTCAATTTTAACGATTCCGAGTCCGATTCTGCTTATCGATTCTGATTCTTAACGATTCCGATTCCAAAACGGTTTTTCTTTTTTTTTTGAGAGAAAAAAAATCAAGCAAATACTTAAAAAAATGTTTAATCATATAAGGTATAAACAAGCTCTAACAGTCAAATGTGAAATGATGAAAATAACACTTTCATTATGGAACTATCTACAAACCAAAACTGCTCAGATTTGAAAATAGAACAAGTAAAACAAATAGAACAAGTCAATGAAACACGTCAAAAGTCAGCAATTCTTTTGAAGAAAGATCAGCATGTCTGCCTTCTCTGGAAGGATGCGTGATCTCTCTAGCTAACTGTATCCCCAGCAGTAGAAAAAACCCTTTCACTGGGGGTAGAAGAGGCCTGTGCACAAAGGTATGAGAGGGCTAGGTCAGACAAGTGAGTATATGTCTCCTTCATGCTCCACCACCAGAGTGCAGGGTCTTGAGATGTCAGTAGAGGCAGCACTTCTCTATACATCTCCAGTTCTTTGTAGGATTTTTCCTGGATGGACAAGGTGCTCTGAATCTGGTTCTGTTTATGAGCCTCATCTTCTGCAAAAAGCTCCTCCAATGGAGTCATTTTGGCCTTCTTGCATTTCTGAAGCTACGAGGAACAAAAGAAGAAATCATATTTTGCGATTTGCAAAGTTTATGCCTGCATTGCTTACCATGTTGTACTCACCACTGCACTGGTCATCTCATCCTTGCTTTCTTCACTCGCCTCTTCATCTTCATGCTGCTGGCTTGTCCCCATGCCCTCCTCACTATAGCCATGCTCTGTCAGCTTAAGGTATAACAAGCAAAACAAATTACTAACATATAGGGGATGATGAAAAATAAGTATTTCATAATTTAAGATCTAAATTAATTTCACATCACATTCATGTTCATAATCAATACCTGTTCAGTTTCCATAGGATCTACAGCTCCCAGCACTTTTTCCTTTATCTGGTTCTAGACTGCATCATCATCCTCCACTTTATGCTTAAACCGGGGATCAAGTGCAGTTGCCTCTTCAAGGAAGGCTCTGACATCGACACTCCATTAAATGCAGATATAGTTAGAATAGATCCTATTAGGTGTCTTAACCTTCTGTGTTTCTTCTTCATTTATATTAATCATTTGATACAAAGTATTTTTTTATGTTTTTACATTGTCATTAATTTCTATAATCTACCACTGTTGACCCTTCTCTTGTTGACCCTGAACCTACCATTATATCAAAACATGCCACTATATCACCCCTAACATGCAAATAGCATGCAAAACAATATGAACACAATATGTACAGGTAAGTGCATAGTAAAGACATCCCACATAAAGTGTGACTGAATAATAAAATTACTGTAAAAGTTATATTAATCTAAATGATTATTTTTACCTGATAACGCTGGGATAGATTTGACCAGACAGTTGTCTTTAGAGTAGACACAAACACTGTGTCTCCTTCTTGCACAGTGAAATGTGCTTCTAACTTTTGCAGTATGGGAATGATCTGGCCGCAGGTTGGACTCTTCTCAGTAGAGACGCAGAGTGTGGATGTGTACATTACTTGCATGAGATTGACAAAATCCTCTGCTTTTCTTATGTCCTCATCTGTTACTCTAGCAAGTCTGTTTTGTTCAAAAATAAAATTATGAACTAAAATTATGAACTTCATCCAGTCATCATGATTACATCATATTATGTCATGTGTAACATGTCGTGGACCACAACACTGCTTAAAAGCTGTCATACCTGTCCCTCTCCATTGGCTTTCTTAGGCGTTGATCCAAAGAGGCTGCCTGAACTGCAGGATACTGCTCAAGGAACCTCTCAAGCATAAAATAAAGAGAGTTCCAGCGAGTTCGGACATCAAGAAGGAGGGAGTGCTGGGGCAGGTCTAAAACACAAACAGAACTTTATCTTACTAACAACTACACACCATTATCAAATATTAACCTATTGTTAAATTAATGTGATTATAACAAGAAAAGGTTCTTACTCAGAATCTGTTGCTTCTCTCGAAGCACAGTCTTGGCCATGGTTGACCTCTTCATCCACACAACCACGTCACGGATTTTTGATGGCCATTTTGCCACTGAAGAAACTGTGTACACACTTTGAGCCCCAAGATTTAGGGCATGTGCAAAACAGTCTATTTTAAGGAGATGAAGCTTTTGTGCTGCCACATTCATGTTAGAGGCATGATCCACTGTGATAACTGCAACTTTGCTTCTTATCCCAAATTCATCTAAAATGTCCCCAATTTCTTCTGCTACCACTTCCCGTTTGTGCTCTGTACACTGACTTTGTTTTAAGGACTTTCTGTTTCATCTTTCCATCTGTGATGTGATGTAATGTGCTGTGACTGTAATGTAATGATCCTGGCAAATGCTTGTCCAGCAATCACTGGTAACTGCAATTCTGCTGACATTTTCCAATTCTAATTTTATTTTTCCTTTTTCTATGTTGTACCAGGCTGGGATCAAATGATTGGACATAGCATCCCTGGAGGGTGGGTTGTATTTGGGATTTAGGGTCTTGGTCATATCCCTGCAAAGAAAATGTGCACTTAATACTACACCTATCTAACCATAGTTTACTGTAAAATATATTGTTTCTGATGTGCTTTGACACACAGAAGAATATCGATATCAGCTCTAGTGGTCCTAGTCCATTGATATTAGTCTGAAAAACTGAGACCCTATAATCGCCATTACATTTTGCATACCTAAACGATGGCGACTCAACTGTAGCAAAAGGATGTAATCCCTTCACCACAAATCTTGTCACTGCCTTGTGACATTCATTGAGTTTCTCCTTGCTCATCTGTCCCTTCGTTGCTAAAGTGAATGGTGTCTCTTCAAACAAAAATATAGATCATAATAGTTGGTAACAATAAATTTATCGTAATGTATTCAAAATGACTCAGCTCTAAGTTGGAGGTGAATGTCCTGTCATCTTTGCTTTGTACCTAACCTAGTTCTGCTACCGCTAGCTGCTTCTGGCTCATTGTCCCTGGACTCGCTGGCGCTGGGAGAGTTGAACACGGTGCATTCTTTTAAATTAACCCCGTGTAAAAACAAATGCTTCCTTATGCTTATTGTCGTTCCTCCCTTGCTCGAGATTTGTTTACCACACGTGTCGCATTTTGATAAATTTGCATCTAACTTTGTAAAGTTTAGCCAGACTTTAGACCGCTAACTCCGGCCAGGCATCTTGGTGTAATGGACTGTGCATGTACATAATGAGATAAGGTCCTGGCAGATCGATATAAATTCAAAATCGTCTCCACTGTTCGTTTGCGTCCTGAAAACAGCCAGGAATCGTTAAGTGGAATCGAAATGCGCACGCCTTAACGATTCTCCGATTCTTTTACATTTGGAATTGATTCTCGAGTCCCATCCCTAGTCCTACACCCTGAGGACTACTAGGGTGTGGCTATGGAAATGAGGTATAAAATATAAACAGTAATTATGCAAAAACTGTAAAAGATATCAAAAGCTGTGTACATTATCAATAGCTGAAGAGTTGCTGAATAGATAGCAGTTGAAATGATGTTTTTAGCTGAAGGTATGCTGAACTTAAGATGTGAAACTTTTTCCCATTCATTTGAATAGGGCAAAATTTGTTTAAAAATGCTAAATAGCTGAAAAAGTATAAATGTTACAAACAACAAAAATACAAGCACATTGGCTCATAATTTACATAACTCATAAATATATTGATAGTGCTCACTTTAAATTCATATTTTATTATTGAGAAAAGAGAAATGTATAAAAAGAATAAATACATAAGAATTGGACTGTTAGGTATTTTTAGTCAGACATTGGTGAGACACTGTATTAGAAATGTTTAGTGTAGACAGGATGTCTAGCTCAGGCTGTTAAATGCTTAGTCATTCTCATGAGTTACTGCAGGTTGTTTATGGTCAAGGATAACTAGATAGAAAGTTGATGACTGTTAGAAGACAGGATGTTTAATATTATTATTATGACGTGTATAACTGTAGTCATATTCATAATATTTTCTTATGTTTAATGTCATGACATGTCACTAGAGGTCGTGTTAGAATGTTTTAGCTACACACCACATAATCAACAGACAATCACACATTGATTTTCTTCATGCTTTGACTACTGCCATGGCCAGCTGCACAGCTGGCACCGGGAGACGTCACGGTTTGGCGTCTCTCTGAGTAGTATGGGGCTAGCCCAACAAAAGTGATATAATGTATAGGCCAGTTGTGGTTCGGGGTTTTTCATCTTTTAGCTGCCTGCGTGCATGTTGGAGGTGCAAAGATACCTGAGCGTGTAATGTTAATTTTACCTGTGATCATTGAATAAATCAGCACTGTTTTGAAGTTACTTGGACTGCTTCATCTCTCAGAGTTAGCGTGGTGAAAAGTACCAGGTCCCAACAGGACCCAAAAAACAAGAGCACTGTAGCTGTTCCTGACACATGTTGCTGTTGGTCATTCCAGGCTTGTCCAGGTTTGTACTCAAAGGTTTGATCTGACATCAAATATCTGTATTCATTCATGCTATTTGGAAAAAGTCAGTGTATGTATTTTGCTGTTGTAATCTTAAATAAAGACAAACACAAAAGTAAGGAGGACCTGGATTTATTTGGAGTGGAGGTTGCCTGTTTGCAAACACAGCATTGGTGGGTGTGACTGATAGACACCCAGTGGAATCCTGCAAAGCCAGAAGCATCATCTCACCAGACACCTGACTACCAGAACTGTGTTGTTGATTTTGAATACAAGACTTTACACAAATGTATATAAGGGGTTTAGGGAATGCACATTGGTTCTAACATTAAAAATACAACCATTATAAGATTTGGTTGCTGGTTGTTCTGCTGGTAAGTCCAAACATTTGAGGATAAGGACAGATAATAGAGTTTGGTTGTGATAACTGTTGTGAGTAGGAGGAAAATATTTCAACTAAATTGTTTTCTGTGGAGTTTAATTTTTCCTGCAGAATTGAAATAACTTTGTTTTACAAAGCAAGCAGTTTGTTGTATTTATGATTTTGTGTGATTCATAATTTAGGTGTGATTATAATTAAATTTCCAATAAATAGTTGTCAATTTCAGACAAAGGGTAATATTTTTGATCTTTGAACATAATGGCACTGAAGGGTGAAAGTCAAGCTGTGAATCTCCGCTGGCGGAGGATGAATGACCTTCAGTGTACAGCAACAGGTGAAACAGCAGAAAGTCCTCAGAGCTGTACAGAGGTAAAAGTGCCTACAGTGTACAGCTGAAGGTGTACAAGAGGGTTGTCAACACAGGATGAATGAGCTTCAGTGTACAGCAACAGGTGAAGCAGCAGAAAGTCCTTAGAGCTGTACAGAGGTAAAAGTGCCTACAGTGTACAGCTGAAGGTGTACAAGAGGGTTGTCAACAAAGTTTCACCTATACCAAAGGTATAGTGCTATGTTATGTATTTGCAAAACTGTTCAAATAATTGTTTAATCTGTTTGACCTTTGTAAAGATTTGACCTGTGGACATGAAATGCTGTGAGTAGGTGCAGAGAGACTCAGAACAACAGGAAGTCTTGCAGATACATACTAAGATGACTAAACTGTCTGCACGAGAATTGTGTGTGGGTGTAAGGTCTGATTGTTTTGACTTTAGATTATCAACATTTATCAACATTATATGAAATGCTTGGCCTTCTATAATCAATATTATAATCTGCATTAGCAAATATATTTACATGTTTATTTTAGTATCATATGCATTATAATAGTATCATATGCCTTATAATCTACTTTTGT